TAGCCAATTTTAGTTTTAATTTCGCTATTTTTGCTGATTTTAAGTTTTTTTAAGATTTGAAGTCCTTTATTTTGAGCTTCGTAAACAAAATACAAATTTCAATTTTCTACAAAAAAAAAAAAAAAAAAAAAAAAAAAATTTTTTGACACGACAAGCAGCTATAGCCNAAAAAAAACTTTTTTGACACGACAAGCAGCTATAGCCGACAATTATGTCGGCTATAGCTGCCCACACAAAACAAAAATTTTCGTCGTGCCTGAAATTGATTTATTAAAAATGCTAAGAAATTTTCACAAGTAACTTTTATTTCAAATCTTGTGATAATATCGACTATGGTGTGTAACACTCTTTTATAATGTTACCATTTTCCCTGAAAATAAACTTACTTTTTTTTGTAAACTAAAAATAATACGATTAAAAATACTGCAGATTGTTAAAATTATTAAAAATGACTTTTTCTAACTTTTTATAATGATATTTGAATAATCAAATATTTAAACTCATTTTCACTAATGCAGTCAAAACAACCCCCAATGGTCATTTAGGTAGGTCAGATGTATAAAATAAAAAAACAGATATCAATTTTATTTCAAACATTATTTTTCAATAATTATTATAAACCTTGTTTTACCATACTGAATATTTGATTAACAGTTTTTTAAGCTTTAATATTCAACTATCTAAATGAGCCGGGAAATCACGTGGTAGGATCCAGTTTTCCCTCATTCATCTCCATATTGTTTTGGTTCTCACTAGCATAAAAATAATAAAAGTCATAAAAGTATTGCTTTTCTATAAATATTTTTTTAGGTTGATTTGATACACATACAATTTAATAGGATAGAATTTTTTATTTTCAAATTTAGTAGATAACAATTGTAAAAAATGAGTGAAAACAATCCCATTGACAATGCGACGGATTTAAGGTTATGTCAAGGTACGTCTCTTGTGAATATCAATTGATTGTTAGGTATTCCTAAAAGAGACTTNTTTTGAAATTACATTATGACGCATTCACATACATTATTAATACAAATACATTTTCCATGGCGAAACTATGAGGCAACCATAAGCACTTCCACTGGTTCAAGAGGTCCACGAGGGAAAAATGCACAGTATTACCGTGATTACAGAGCACGGAAGAGAGAGGAGCAGAAAAAAGAGTCGTTGAATAGAACTAGTGATCCTTCTACGACTGCTGAATCTTCTACAATTAACGTCGCAGGTTACGAAGTTTAACTTCTTCCGCACGGAGGGACTCCACGCACTATACTTTTTTACTTCAAAAGCGAGAAGAAAAATAAACTATTCATCTATGCATAGGGTGAATTCTACGACTTGGAGTTTTTGGAGCTCGTTCCGAGATGTACTGACACTGTCGTTCGAAAACAAAATAAAAAGTTTTATCTTATAAGAAGAGTAGAGGCATTCCATCCTTTTCAGTTTTGTCATAAACAAATGATTTTGTGTTGAATTAATTTGTTTTGAAAACAAACTTTTCCTTTTCATACAAATGTTTTTTTTTTTTTACCATTTTTAAAAAATTACTATTCTATGATTTTTATTCTTGTAAAAATATGTTCAAATATGTTTTAATCAAATGATATTTTTCGTATGCATTTCATTGTATACACTACTGCAACTGGATTTTATCCGTAGTGTATGTTTTCCCTTTGATTAAAAAAAAAGTAAAATACTTTCCAACGCANATTCTACGACTTGGAGTTTTTGGAGCTCGTTCCGAGATGTACTGACACTGTCGTTCGAAAACAAAATAAAAAGTTTTATCTTATAAGAAGAGTAGAGGTATTCCATCCTTTTCAGTTTTGTCATAAACAAATGATTTTGTGCTGAATTAATATGTTTTGAAAGCAGACTTTTCCTGTTTATACAAATGTTTTTTTTTACCATTTTTAAAAAATTACTATTCTATGATTTTTATTCTTGTAAAAATATGTTCAAATATGTTTTAATCAAATGATATTTTTCGTATGCATTTCATTGTATACACTACTGCAACTGGATTTTATCCGTAGTGTATGTTTTCCCTTTGATTAAAAAAAAAGTAAAATACTTTCCAACGCAGCTCCGAATGTATTTTTTATTGCAACTTTTTTTTGTCAAAAAGAAAAATTCGTTTGATTAAACTGATTTTGAAAACTTGGTTAGTGGTTGGTTTATAGGTTGTATGATCAAAGAAGATTTAATGGAAATGTTCCCTAAATTTCCAATAATCGTGAACTGTTTTTTATTACGTATGGTTGACTAAATGTAAATAATAATAAGTTAAATAAGCTTCAAAAAACTGGAAGAAATTTAAAAAACTTCCTGTTTATCCTTCTATTAATGTTATGGTTACGAGGATTAATGTTCAACAGGAACATTATTATACGTGTGAACAGGATTAATATTCTAGGAGTAGGACTTTTTTTGAAAAATTATAATTTATGTTTTTATTCACTCGTAATTTTACTGTTCATAAGAGTTTTCTGTAATTTATGAATTATAACAGACCGTGAGCTTAAAACAATTGTTTTAAGCTCACGGTTTGTTTGTAATTGTTAATTGTAATTGTTAAATTTAAATTTAAGAAAATCAATATCACAACCTAAGTAAAGTGTAATGTTTGTCATGTTTAGCGTGATGTCTCTTATTTGGTCAAATTTGTTTAAAATATCCCCGTTTGTCTTTTTTGGATAGTATCATAACGCGCTTACGGAGTCTTATTAATTTATTTGTTGTTTGTTTAGCTAAAATTTAAATCAAGAGAATGCGTTATTTTGCAAACACTGCAAGTATAATGAATGGTGTCTTCACATAAATGTAAACAATAACAATCCCGAGCTCTAGTTCCGGTTAGAAAGTTTGCAACTGCTCACTACAGCTTATTCTGCGAGGCGATATTTTCAAACGGACAATTTTGTTTTCAATAAAAGAAATAAATTAGATAATTTATGAGCTCAAATCTGCCGTATTTCATGAGATATTAAAGTTATTATGTAATTCTGGTGAGTTTGAAGTGAAAATTTGTTTTAGTTATTTATAGATATATTGGTAAAAAAGGTGGAATGGTTGCTAGATTTTGAATAACTCGCTTTTTTGACCTCTTTCCATTTATTTATTACTGTTTGTTCTTGTTGCAAGCTGTCAGTGGCGTAGCGAGGGGGGAGCAAGGGGGAGCATCATGCCCCGGGCGCTACTCACAAAGGGGCGCCAAATGGTCAGCAAAACAAAAAAAATTGTTGGATAATTTTTATTTTTATTATAATTTATTTCTGCAAAAAATATTTTAAATTTAGTGCCAGTGAAATATGATAAATGTTAATTCGTAAATAAAAAGGAACACTAATCAAACTGTAATAATATATTCATAATAGAAATGACACGTCTTTTCTAATGGCTGGCTGACTCGACCTGTATCTGTCAGCACTTCCTTATGGCATCTACGCTGTGTGGTTACATATATTATCTCCAAATATTTGCACTGTACAAAAATCGTTTGTATGTTTGTACAGTGTATAATACAGATTTCAATGGAATAGAACTCTTTATCGAAGAATGTGACTGTAAAATGTTACTCCTTTGTAGAAAAGAAATTGAACTTAAAACTCCATTAGAATTTCTTACTTTTATAATCCCGTATGGAGAAGATGTTTTTCCAAACCTGAGAGTGGCACTTCAAATACTCCTGACTATCTCAGTATCAATTGCTAACTGCGAATGGTCATTCAGCAAATTAAAATTAATTTTGACATATCTACGATCAACGGTGGGACAAGATCACCTAAGTGACCTGGCATTTTTAAGTGTGGAAAGAGAAAAATTTGAAATGATCAACTTTGATGATATTATTGATAAATTTGCTTCATCAAAAGCGGAAAATTTACACATAGTAATTAGTTTTATAATTGTATTATAATCATATTATTAAATATATGTATCTCCTTAGAGATAATAAATATTTACTTTTTTATTGTTTTAAAACTGCGTGTTTTTAAAATATTTCTTTATAAATATGTAAAATAAATAATAGGTATCTTATGAACTAATTCTAGATGATCATATACATTTCAAAGTCTAGTCTTGTTTTCTCAACTACATTTTTTGTCTCAAATTTAATGCCTAACTTGAGCCTATGACTTTATTAATTCTACTTTATTTATTTATTACTTTGCGAGTATATTTTACTTATAATATTAGATGGATTTCGAATGGGGGAGGGCGCTAAAAAGGTATTGTGCCCCGGGCGCGAGTTAAGCTCGCTACGGCACTGCAAGCTGTGCACCATCTTACGTTAGTGTTAGCACCTTTAGCATCGCAAACACAAGTATTGTTAGCATTGTAAACACAAGTAATAAGTAATCAAATACTACGTTTGCAAGAATCTCAAAACGCAATGATCACGTTGTGAGCCAACTGGCTTTAAAATACACCGGAGACAGTAACCCGGAAGTATAGGCGGTATGGAGTTTGCAGCGTTCCCTAGTGAAGAAAACACCATCCATATTATTGGATGGCGCTCTTTTTCAAACTTAGGCGTAAAAATCAATCAGAAATGGGACCCCGGAAGTCTTACGACGAATTTTAACCTCTAGCGCCATCTGTGGTTCACACGGTCAACTATCTGTTGTCATGGGCGATCATTGTTTTTCTGATAGAATTATTTAAAATATTGGTAAAATTATTATTATTACTGAAATAACGATAAAGCTATGAACTGAATCGTTCAAAAAGTTGACACACAGTAGATTGCTTGCTTTTTAAAAGCTAAGAGAACATTCATACTGAACACAAATATAATCACATATGCGAATTCGGAGATGCGAGCGATTACCTAATTGGCGAATTTTTCACGGACCAGACGTGCGTGCGACTTTTCAGCAATTGCTCTGTAAGCATTTCATTTTGAGCTGCTGTTAGAGGCCAATTGCAATGCGATCGCATATGCGAATCACCAATCAAATCTCACACTGTATAAGCGTATCTGCGTATTACTTATTTTGGAGGCTCTGCACACAGCTAAAGCGGACAAATTCTAACATTTGAAAATTGCAAAAAATGGCAACACGTTCGTTCTAAACGTAAGCCAGAGCTCGTGCATGCGGCAACGTGGTTAAATTAGGTTATTTGATTGATATTTAATTAAATCAACTAGTTTTTTCTATTTTTAATTATCATGGTAAGTAGGTTTTATATAAATTCATTGATTTATTAACAATGTTTCATGTTATTCATTCAGTAAGAAATACGCGAATTGTGTCTGATAAGTGTTAGCAATGGACTCGTATCTATTTTCTGAATTGTTTGAATTCAAAATTGTTATTTGTTCCTTTTTTGGAAAAAATTGCTTCTTTTTTACCATATTTTTTTATAAACTTATTTAATTAATTTAAAGTTCAGATACTTTTTTTTATGAATGTACCTGTGAATCTCTATTTTTTTAATTCTGTGTTTTCTACGAAATCTAATTAGTCTTACTGAAATCTGATCAAAACTATAGATTATGCCTTTTATTTTCTGTAATTAAAATCAATGAATCCTTTTCTTAAGACGGACAGTTGCTTTTACAATGTCAATTCTCAGCTTAAGCATGTGATAATTGAACATTGATCTTTGTAGAAAGTAGCTCTGTATGATATTACTACGTCATTATTTTCTGATACTAAAGTTCGTATACTTTTCTAGACTCAGAAAAGGCGTAATAACGGACGTAGCAAGCATGGGCGAGGGCATGTAAAGCCTGTAAGATGTACCAATTGTGCTCGCTGTGTACCCAAAGATAAAGCCATCAAAAAGTTTGTTATCAGAAATATTGTAGAAGCAGCAGCTGTAAGAGATATTCAAGAAGCTAGTGTTTATGACAGTAAGTATTATGTGCAATATTTACCATTGAGTTTTTTTTTTAATTCATTGCTTAGTTATAATTCATCAAATTTTTATCTGTTTGTCAGCTGATCTAATTTAGTAAATTGGTTACCACCCATCAGTGGTGGCTTATTTTTGTTGATAGCAACTATAGTAAAGTGAGGTGTGATGTACATATTTGTGTATAAAATTGTTTATTGAGAAACTTTCTATCCAATGCGATGAATAAAAGTATGAAGTAAATATTGTCTAAAGCATCATTGTTATTGGTGTGGAAATATAGTTTTTGATCTGTCCTTTTACTAAGAATTGTGCTATATTTATTTCTAATTTTTATTGTATTAATATAAGTATGAGTCTACTTTATGGCATTGATTAGTAAATGTAATGGATTTTTTTCCATTTATGGTTTAAATGAGAGAGGTAAAAGTCTTATTTAATGTAAGATATCACTCATGGGTTGCAAAAGTTGAATTCGTGAATACCGTTTTTCCTAAAATTGAATTTATGAAGGTACCGCCAAACGGTAGTAAATTCGGATTGCACAGACCCCTGATTTTTAAATATTATATCGAATGATCATTTACTAAATTCTGTGTTTTAAATATTATATCTATTCACTTAGTGATATCTTTTAATAAATTTCGATCAAATATTGTTATAAAAGAATAATAATTGATATTTTTCATTTTTTGTTAATAAGACAGTGTGATAAAATTTTTCTTCGAATCAAGCTAATGATACATGTTACATTAATAAAACTAACATAGAAATTAGTGCAAAGTAGGAAGAAAAAAGACTTAGCATCTTTCTATCTGCCCTGAACAAACTAAATCAAATATATATTTATATATGTATATAAAAAAGAATGCAAGTTTAATTATTCTTTATACTTTATTAGAATTGTGTANCACAGAGACACACACAGACACACATAGTGAACTTTGTGATTGGTGGAGTGCCCAAAATATTGTGTCGCGTGCCATTGGTTCGCCATCCCTGGTCTAAAGCATCATTGTTATTGGTGTGGAAATATAGTTTTTGATCTGTCCTTTTACTAAGAATTGTGCTATATTTATTTCTAATTTTTATTGTATTAATATAAGTATGAGTCTACTTTATGGCATTGATTAGTAGATGTAATTGATTTTTTTTCCATTTATGGTTTAAATGAGAGAGGTAAAAGTCTTATTTAATGTAAGATATCACTCATGGGTTACAATGGTGGTATAACTCAAAGAACATGTGTTTTGGACTAACAACAGGTGTAAATAGGAAAATACGCATTCTTTCAGCAGCAATACTTTCATAACTCATAATTCAACTGGAAGGTAATCTTCGCTTAAGCAAACGAAAGCATTTCTTATGCATTTTTGCATAACAATGAAAACTTGAAACCCACTTATCTCAAAACTTGATTTTTTTGAGTTGTGCCACTATTGAAGCCCATGAGTGATATGGTGTTTTCTTTGATTTTTCAGAAATAAAAATTTTTCATATCCTGACTTTAGCTTTTTGTTGCAATTTTTCTGATTTTTATTAGTATTCAAAACATCACATTTCTTAAATGTTAATGAACTATACACAGATTTTGTAGTTGAATTTTCAAGGGTCTGTCTAGGTTTTTCTTAGAGGTTACTATTTTGTGAAATTTTGAACATAATTTGTGAAAGATTAAAAATTATATTAAAAAATCAACACAAAAACATGCTAAAAATATAGATTTATAAGGGATAGAAAAATAAAATTGTAAGAAAAAGTATTTTGTGACACTATTGTTTTTCCTAAAGTTGAATTCGTGAAACTACCGTTTTTCCTAAAATTGAATTTGTGAAGGTACCGCCAAACGGTAGTAAATTCGTATTTTTAAATATTATATCGAATGATCATTTACTACATTCTGTGTTAAAATATTATATCTATTCACTTAGTGATATCTTTTAATAAATTTCAATCAAATATTGTTATAAAAGAATAATAAATGATATTTTTCATTTTTTGTTAATAAGACAGTGTGATAAAATTTTTCTTGGAATCAAGCTAATGATACATGTTACATTAATAAAACTAACATAGAAATTAGTGCAAAGTAGGAAGAAAAAAGACTTAGCATCTTTCTATCTGCCCTGAACAAACTAAATCAAATATATATTTATATATGTATATAAAAAAGAATGCAAGTTTAATTATTCTTTATACTTTATTAGAATTGTGTATACTAAATTAAATATATATAATAATTAGTTGCCTTTTATGAATTGAGGCTGGGATGTGTATATACTGTTTGTCTACGATAAGTACTCTGTCCGCCATTCGTCTGGAGGGGTGGCGGGGACTATGGTAATGAGGTATGATTATTTCAAGTAGGGGTGCGGGGTCCCTCTTTAAGACTGGTTTCGGTGGGAGAAAAGGAGACTTCTTTCTTCGCTCTATTGTATTAGCCCTAGAGTTAAGAGAAATGAGCGTTCGCGCCTGAAATATCGTTTAGAGCATGTGCTTCCTTTTTTTTAATCTTTTCTTTTTTTCAAAAGCTGGTTTTAGAAAAAAAATTAAAAAAAAAATATATATGTATGTATGGAAATTGTATAAAATTGTTTAAAGCAGCTCAATGATCTATTAATAAATAACTCATCTATAAATTTATCATACATAGTAAATTGGTTATTAAGAAAAAAATAAATTTGCTAATAAAAACTGTTTTTAATAAATAGTGAAAAAAAACTGTACAGGTTACAATAAAATATGAATAAGAAAACGTAATTTAAGCAAAAAAAACTTCAGATAATTTCAGATGGTTTGATGGGTGCTGATAAAAATCATCGTTGATAGTTTTAGATTTCATCCTAGTTGCGGTCACTTGCTTTCAGTTTCAAAAAAAAAAAAAAATAAATAAATAAATAAAATATTTAAAAATTAATAATCAAAACAAAGATATTTAATATTTCTCCGGCACAGATAACGTGAACTATTTTTATTTTCAGCAAAAGTTTTATCTCCTTTTAAAATCAGAGTTATTAAGTTTAAGCTCTTCACTTTTTCCAGAAAATTCAAGTAATAAAAGAAATTAACTGCTTTAAAAAATGTGCAAGTTTAGAAATTAAACCATCTAACAATCAATGAACATTCATAATAAATATCGTAAAATTAAAAAGTAATATTAAAAAAACCTGTACTACCCTTAATGTCAGAATTTGTTCACTTTTTTTCCTTTGTATTTAAAAAATAACAACTGATTGAATCGAGAGAATTATTTTAAGTAAGAAAGAAATATTCATGCGAATCTTAAAAAAGTTCTTGAATCAGATTAAATAAGTCTCCTACTGGTGGCTGAGTCAGCCAATCTGGTATACTCCCCATACAAGCTATCATCGAAGGCGAAAGAAAAGGAGACCTCTTCATCGAAGCCACCCTCCCTAAAATGCTCTCTTCTTGTTTCCATAGCACCAGACTGCCGCAGACTTTGTGGCGGACAGAGTACCTATCGTAGACAAACAGTACCAGGGTTGGAGTTTTTGCCGGCAAAAAGGGGGTTTTGCCATGACAGTGGTAAAAGCTGGTAAGAACCGGCAAAAACCAAATTATCTAAATTGCAGATTAAATATTATTACAAAATACTTGAAACAAATTTAAATCAATCCTAAGGAATAATAATTTCGATACAATACATGAAAAAAATATTTTTAACATATTAATAATTAATATAAAGGCAATAATTTTTAAAAGATTGAAGGTTTTTGACCTCTTTTCATTTTAGAATCCTTAAATAAATGTTTTTTTACAAATAGTAAATAAATATTATTATTTGTACAATAATTAACTACACATCTTGATAGATATTTTATGCTTTAAATTATAGTTATATTAATTTAAAATAAGTTCATTTCACTGGAAAAAGAGAATACTTGCAAAATTTCCAATCAATAATGCTTTAAACTACTAAAATGTTGTATTATTACATTATGATTTAATTATGGAATAAAAAATTTTTAAATTTTTTTGTAATTATTCATATTTATAGTATATATTTCAATTTGAGGAATAATTTTGTCACAAAAATGTGTTTTTGTCCTCTCATCTTGGAAAATATAGGTTTTTGCCAGGGCGGTTTTTACCGGTATTTACCATGGTTTTTTCCACCTGCAGCAAAATCTTGCCAACCCTGGTATATACTGTACGAAAAAATATCCTGCTTTTTTTCCTTGGTCTACTATAAGGCTTATTTTATGTAAATCTCTGTTGAACAAAATCAGTTATATTAGTTTGACATATGTTAGTGAGTAAAATCAAATTTCGCCTGTGTGAGAAAATAGACGTAGAAGACTACATAATATTTTTTGATAAAGTATTTTATTTGTAATAAAAAGTTCTTAGTGGATTAGGAAACTTGAAATTGTCTGGGAAATTTACTATGAGAAAAAAGCATGAGTCATGGCAAAATGTTTAACTATGTTCTGTAAGTCTCTGAGCGAGCTTGTATGGCAGTGCTAAGTGGTTCAGTTAAAAGTGAGTCGTGAAATAGTATGTTAATTGCAAAGTAGTTATAAATGTATACTTATAATTATGTACAAAGTAGTATTATGTACTGTTGTACTTAATTACAAGTTTAAATTGATTTAGTGGTAACTAGCAGTGCTGGCATCATAAAATTTAAAAAAAATGTAGATAACAGCTATAAATAAAATGCATGTCATGTTATCTATATTTAACTAGAATTAACTGTGATGTATAGTTTTGAAATTAATATTGTAGAGGGAACATCTCTTAAATTACACCAAATTATGGCACTAACATGTTGCATTAATTTCATTATGTTTCATGTTGCATCAATTTCATTATGAGGGATGGAAATCTTAACTTTTTGAGATTTTTACCTGCCTTCCAATTTTCTTCAATTAAAAGAGTTCCCAGTTTTGTTGAATGATAAATCTAAAATCATAAATCGAAGAACATAGGCTTCCCTTTTTTTTTGCATATTTATTTTTTAAATACTTGAGAAAAGCAATTTTAACAATTAATAAATTATTTAATGCAACTGTTATTCTTTGTTCCCAAGCCTTCAAGAAAGGTTAACAACTTTGTTTTAGAAAGTCCCTTTTCTATGTATTTATATTTGTGAATCTGTACTTTTGAAATCTAATACTGTTTTTTACTATTGTTATATTTCATCTATACATTTTTTCTGGCTTATGCTCGTACCAATTTATATGCAATGCTCCACTGTCGTGTGCAGGTATTTGCATATAGTCAGGTATACGTTTATACCCATTTTTTTCCTGTTTCTAATCTAAGCTTTTTTTCCCTAGCTTATGCTCTACCCAAGTTATATGCAAAGCTTCATTACTGTGTTTCCTGTGCTATTCACTCTAAAATTGTAAGGAACAGATCTAAAGAAGGACGAAAGGATCGTGCTCCACCCCCCAGATTCCAGCGGCCTATGACGGTAATAAAAGTAAAATAATGCTGACGAAATTAATGTCACTTTTGTTTTTTTCCTGAGCAATAGTATTTCTTATATTTATCCTATTAATAATTTTTAAATAAAGTATGTGTGCTTAAGTTTGGTAAGATAGTTATCTTAAAGAGTAAGAAAGAGAATTTAAATAATTGTGGTTTGTTTTATTTTATTAACTTTTCTGTTATTAGATTAAGAGAAACAGGGCGTAAAAAATCCCAAGTTTTTGCAGTTTTAAAAATTTATGAATACATTACTCTTGATTGATTTTTCCCATGCGTCAGAGCTAGTGATAAAAAATCAGTCTTGCTCCTTTACAATGACCAACACACACAATTTGTGGAAGGATTACTGTAATTGGTTTTACAATTACTACGCCTGAATGTTGAAAAACAAATTTGTGTATTAAATGCTGAAACATGTGAACTGTATGTTTAAACAAAGAACATTAGCAGCATTCTGTCTAGGTTTTTCTGAGAGGTACCTATTTTGTGAAAATTTAGATATAATTTATGAAAAATGATTTTAAAAGATCAACGCAGAAATATGGATATGGTTTCTTAAGGGATACAAAAATAAAATTCAAAGGAAAAGTATTTTGTGAAAGTAACGTTTTTCCTAAAATTGAATTTGTGAAGGTACCACTAAACAGTAGTAAATTCGGCCTGGACAGACCCCTGATTAGGCTATTATTTTAGTACAATTAACTTGATGAAGTTATATAATGAATATTGTAACTTTGTGTGATGCTGTAAATGTACCCAGATCATCTAATTAATTAGATGATTCAAATATAATATATTTTTTGTTTAAAAACTGCTTTGTTTCCATTTATTTCAATATTTCTTAAATTTTAAGTTTTGGAATGTTCGAGGTAGGCTTGGTTCCACCCACATCAAATTATTAATGCTTGACTGTAGTATTAATTTTATTGTGATAATTTAGCTGTATTTTAAAACAATTGTTATAATTTGTGATAATTAAGCTATATTAAATCTTTTAAAACATTATATAATCAGAGATGAGAGAATTTGCCGAAAGAGCAGTAGTTTGATTCCCCCATNCCCCCCCCATTTTTTTAAAAAAAAAAGTCTTAATGCTTCAAGAACGTAATTTTTGTGTGGATCCAATTATTATATCCCCCCCCTCCATAATTGCTGAAACCCAAATGTTAGTTGTACTTAAAACAGGCTTTTTTTTCCCCGCAGTAGTTTCCTGAGAAAGAATAATCATTATGAAAAAAATAGGTGAAGCTTTGGCAGATGAGTTTCTTGGCTGTTGAGTTCTAAGTAGTGTCTTGGATTTTCCTCCTTGATGCGACGCATAGTAAATTTGCACATCTGTACATTATAATTCTCTAGACTCCACTAGTTCTTATTTTTGACCGTTCCTGCTTTGTCTGTGCACACATTTGTACATGGTGCATCGTAAGATTAATGTATTTTAACAATTGAAGTAAAATTGATTGAAGAACGCAAAGTGTGCACGATTGATGCTGCTGGAAAAAATACATTCAGATTTGATTGGTTAAATAAAACAGTCAAAGTAACACTAAAACTGCTAGTAACAATCTTAGATGATATTGAGGTGAAAGTTACTGTCTTATTTAAGATGATTGGTTAAGATGATTTGATTCTTATTATTAAATTTCTTTCATATAGTAGTGATCAATATGTTTGAAATTATATTTAAGAAAATTTTAAATTTCACTGACCAAATGCTCCTACCTCTTTTAATATAAAATAAGACAATCTCACAGTTGAGTTAGAAGTTATGTTCTCAGGGATGAGATTTTTCTGCTTTTTAGCAGATGTTTGAATTTGTCACTCGAATTTCAGCGTTTTTGTCAAAAGCTCAGATTCTCTAAAAACTTCACTTTTTTTTCTCCTTCTAAATATTCTTCTTTTTCTGTAAGTTCAAGTCATTAAAATAAAGTAATTATATTTATTTCCGATTTTCAAAGATAAACAGGAAATTCAAACTATGTTATAGCTGCTAATCCTCCGCATTTTTAATTATTTTAGCTATTTTTTTCAGTTTTTACGCACTAAATTTAAGATTTTCCGTATTCATATTTTCGTAATTCAGAGGTTGCTGCTTCCTGTTTGCTGAAGTGAAAGTAAACTAAATAATCATAAAAAAATGGCGGTGGTTTTGTGGTGAAAAAAATTATCTTATTCAATTAATGTTGTAAATTTTTATTTACTACGGCTAAACGAAAGCAATACAAACAACCCCAAGTCCAGAATCTGCTAATATCTCAATTCTTATTCGCTCCATTATAATATCTTACATTGCTATTCTTATTTTCAGGATTTAAAATTCCAATATCGCGATTTGTATTTGTTTCTTTTTTTTTGATGCAGTTCTATTATCAGATTTAGATTTTCAAATTTACTTGATTTAAAAGTTGCGTGCTGCGATTCTATTTGGTTGTAATATCATCGATTTTCGTATATGTACGTGATTTAAAAATTAGACATTTTGATTCTTGTTCTCGCGTTATAAAAATTATGCATCATTATTTGTATCACAGCTTCTACATATTATATATATTAATATATGCATATATATTTATAAATAATTTCCCCCATTTCCTGAAATTGTGTTTTTAAAAAAAAATTATTTATTGCATCTTGTTTTGAAAATTGTGAATTTATTAGCATCACAAATTTTTGTAAGAATGCCTTAGGGGCCATTCAAAAAGTACGTACACAAAAAATGGAAAAATTTTAACCCCCTCCCCCTTCATACGTAAGGTCTCCCCCCATTAAAGTACGTACATTTTGTTAGTATGCCCCCCTTTTTCATAAAAGGTTATGTGAAATTTTGCAAGACAACTTTTTTTGAGAACTGGTTTACTCATTCTAACAAGTGGCCGCCGTGTCAAAAAAAAAAATACAAGAACAAACATGTATAATACGTGTGTAGGAAGAAGTCAAATTTAAATTTGGTGTATGCTTATAATGTACATACTTCGTATAATACCTCCCCCTCCCCATCGTACAAAATAGCAAATCATTTCCCCCCTTCGGGATGTACATACTTTTTGAACGGCCCCTTAGTACATTGTTAGCTATTACTAATTGTACACGTTTTGAAAAGATTAATTTAAAAAATTTAGAGCAGAAAATATAGAAGTAATGTTAATATTTCAATGTGCAGGGATGATGTTTTTTTGCTTTTGCTGCTTGAATTTCAGCCTTTTTATCAAAAACTAAAATTGAGTAAGTTTGCTAAAAAAAAAAAACTCCCTTTTTAAATTAACTATCTTTGATGAATTGAATCCCTATTACTATTTAAAATAATGAGTAGCCGTAATACATAACATTTCAACTTCATTCAATATCAATCATTACTGGAAAATATTGTAGTTTTGAAAGCTATAAAGATCCCTGAAATTTATATTGTATAATATACACCTATTTTCAAGCGCCTGAAACATGTCAACTGTTATTTCCTATCTGTGTATTTTTGAAGTGAATGGAGTTTCTTCATCAAATAAAGGGCTTATAGTTCATGTTAGATTAAGCTGAATTTTTACTCTTAATTTTTCTGTCTGACTGCATTGAGTTGGCAGACAAATTTGAATTTATGAAGATTGTGCTGTATATTTTCTCCATACATTTTGCTACAAGTACAATAAGTAGCCAATGATGTGGCCAAAATTATTATATGTTTATTAAATTTAGAATAACTTGCGATACTCTTTACTGAAGAGTTTCTTCTATTCCATTTTCATTAAATATAACCGTAGTTGTAAAATAAAACAAAATTTTTAAAGATTAAGCTTTCTGTATAGAGTGGTTTCATGGATTCCTAGTGTAGTAAAATACAGTTTGTTTGCCTAGATCTGTGAATGAACTTTTCATTACTGAGTGTCTAATAATTTAATATACTTGTTTCTGTTTGCTTTAATAGTCTTGTTTTTCTTTTTTAATATCTGTTTTTTTGTTTTAGGATGCTGCCCCAAGGGGAGGAAATCAACCACGTGTTATGCCACCTAAATAAGTTTGTAAAAATTTTGAAGAAATAAAAAAAAAAAGTGACTTGACATTCTCTTTGTACAGTGTGTTTATAATTTCAGTTTAATGTAGTTGTTCATATGAAAATCAAGCATAAAATTCACTATACTATAATGAGACAGGACATAAAGCATTTAATCCCTTGAAGAAAAATATTTAATTTTTGTTGCATTTTCTTAGCATTTTAACTAAATTTAAGTTAAGGCAGTGATTAAAGTCTGATTCATTATGCCGATTCGGTTGAGTTACCGTTCAATTGTACCAGCTGACGACGTACCCTGGCATATCCCAGCTAAAATTTGCTAACTTAGCTGGAAATCCATTTGGTAATTGAATCAGTGTTGTACAAAGGTTTCCAGACTGCAAAATAATTCCCAGTTCTCTGCCAAAAGCGTGTCGCATAAAATAATATCCGACCAAGCTGGGCCATACAGGATCAGGATTTGATATCTTCGCTTTCGTTGAGAAGAGAAAAAATCTGACACTTTACAAATGGAGATGTTTAAATTGTAAGAAAACCCCTAATGGGGGAGAAAAAGAGGAATATGAGCCATGCTTAATGTACGCCTTTAAAATCGCCTAGTTTCTTTCTTAAAAAGCAAAATTTAAAGGTATCTTATGTACAAGGTACCTGGAAAGTCATGGATTTAGGTTGCTGAAAAATCTAATTTTTAAAATGGAATTTATCCCCTCCCCTCTTATTTCCCGGTGCTCCAAATATCTGAATTTGTAACTAAATTCCCACATAATTTATTAAAATGTTTTTATAGTGTTCTTTCAAAAAATGAACGAGAGAACTTTTCTAGATTGAATTATCTTATAAACTTCTGATTTTAGAATTCATTTATTATAATTTTTTTTAATCAATTTAAAATTCTAGCTGAATCAAGCCAGTCAGTCATTGGCGATTCCTTTTTTTATTTTTTTAACCGAAATGAGAACAGGAAAAAAAATCGAGAGTATTTCCTCTCTGATGAAGAAAAAAAGTATCTTTGTTCAACTCTGTCTTTAGTCTGTGTTTTAAATTTAAAATCTATTACTATGAAGATGCAGAATATAACAGTTTTGGTTATACTTGTCATTTCAATTAATGTTATTTTGTGCTTTATTAAATTTATTGTGTTTTTGTCAGAGAAAATAGTAACTTTGGTTAAGTCATGTGAAATTCTTAAAATTAGTCATGAAAAGTCGTGGATTTAAAAATCTCAAATGTAGCAGGTACCGTGTATGGAATATACTTCACAAAATTTTATAAAATTGATTAAAACGTTGTTGCATCTTTTTAAATTCAATCCTAAAAATATATCGCTAAATGTTCTATCAAAAATCGTGGCACGGGTCAGGGAAAGTCTGGAATTGTTGAGGAATTTTATTTTAACTCTAAAAAGCAGGAAAAGTTGAAGTGTTTTGTAAAAAGCCTGGAAACCTACATCATACCTGGAAAATAGCAACAGTAATCGGTTATTGAGATTTAGAGTTCAAACAATCAAATATATTTAGCAATACAGTTATCTGATGAAGAATTGCATGCTCTAAACATAGTGTGGTCTAGATGTTTATTGAAATTTCCTGATATACTTGAAAATGTCAGGGAATTCTTTTCTGATATTGAGTGGGAGCTCTGTAAAGAACAAAGGAATTGTGGTCTGGATGTTTATTGAAATTTCCTGATATACTTGAAAATGTTAGGGAATTCTTTTCTGATATTGAGTGGGAGCTCTGTAATGAACAAAGGAATAATGAACGTAACGAAAAGATTGAGAACTAGATTTGGTACTAATGAAAGCGGAAATTGAAAAATACTGCTCTAGCTTCAAATATTGAGACTGTTGCATAGAATTTAATATTTGAAGAAAAGTGATAAGCTGCAATACTCGGAAAAAATGTCGAGCTGTGCGGTGCTGAGTCTAAGCTGGGGGTAATAGTATTTCGGGAGGTACCCCGGGTTTTTCGTATTATCCTAGGTATAACAATTAAGAAGAGCACGACATATGATTTTTCTGGTATATTGCTTTTTTCAAGACCATTTGTTCTCGGAATTTCGCTAATCAAAAACTTGTTTATCCGATTAAATTTTCACTGAATTCCGCAATCTAAAATTCAAATTTTGAAACTTTCACTAATTTCCGTACGATACGCTTACATAGCTGCCAACTCGACTGGATTTTTCCTTTTTCTACAGGTTTATTAAAAATTCTCTTTGGTTTTGTAAATTTCAGAAAATTCCCTAAAATTGAGAGAACTTTTTGAATAATCCTTATGGAAATAGAATATTTGCACAGATTGTTCCTTGCTTTAATATTAAAATAAGTATTATATATAATAAAGCTAGCCTCTTTTATTAAAATTAGTTTAAAACTGTTTTTTTTTTTTTATAAAATGCTCAGTTTATTTTTATTCTGAACTCCCTTTTAAATTAAGAAATATTTCAACTATCTTTAAATTGAATGCCTATTACTAATCATAATTATGAGTAATAATACATAACATATCAAGTTCATTTAATGTCCATCATAATTGGAAAATATTGCAGTTTTTCTATTTTGTTGACTATAAAAATCCCCATGCATAAAATATTTAGTACATAATGCAATAATTTTAATGATATTTATATTTCGTAAAATCTACTGGATTTTTTCCTAGTTGGATAATTAGTTGGCAGCTATGCGCTTACAAATGCGTGATTCTTCCGCTAATGGAGAGAAATCCGTCATTTTGATACTTTCAGTGTGGCGGATTTTCGCCAATTTGAATATTTGAACCTGCCCCGGAATCCGCTAATGTGATTTCTTATTCACGCGGTTAAAATATGAAACATCGATTTTCGTATTTACCTAATATAAAAGTTACACGTTGCGACTTGTATTCACGTGATTTAAAAATTCAATGTTGCAATTGGTGTTCCCGTGAATTTAAAATCTAATATCACAATTCATATTACGCGTTTTCAGTCCAATATTGCGGTTTATGTTTGCTCGTTTGTAATATCAAACATTGATTTTCTTATTTTTATGTGATTTAGAAGCTGCGTATTGCGATTCGTATTCACGCGTTTTTAAAATTCAATATTGCGATTCCTATTCGCGCGATTTTAAAGTTTTTTTTCGTAAATTAGTTACAATGAAGATGTGATATTCTTCGTTGGTTGGTAATTTAATTATAAATCTTATTTCAAAAACTGAAGTTCGGAGAGTTGTATTACCAAAATAAATGAAACCGGGGATAGTAGAACTACATTATTTAGAATAAAAAATGACCATCTTCAAAACTGGAGAAAAAAAAAATTTTTTTTAAGAAAAGAGACTACTTAATTATGTTTAATAATTGATGCTGCTATAAGTAAGCGAATTCATTTACACATATTATGTATATATATATAATTATATTACTTTGTATTTTGAGGGTCAGAAATCTAAATCGAGTATATTTATTCAAAGAAATTACGTTTTGTGACTGATTCTGTCAATAGTTACGACTAAAGCTATAGCATATTTCATGTCACCCCTTTATATGATCGGTACTTATTTCACTTCCTGATGACGTTTTCTTTTTTTGTTACATATACTTACTGTTGATTTGAAGGAAGTGTTAGTTTTATAGACAGGTTTCAAAATTGTTACTGTAGATTGACCCGTGGCTTCAAATGAAATGAAACTAAAAAACTACCGATCAGGTTTTCACATGCTATCTATCCAAGAGGATCATTTAACTTCCCTGAAATAATTCAAAAATATTAACTATCAAAACGTGACAGGATTTTATTTTATAACCAGCATTGTACAGCCGACCCAATTTTTGGGTCTGTCACTTCTTATGTTCAACTCCGTAGCCTTGTAATTTTTTAACCCAATCCAGAAGACAAGGGAACTCCTGGATTAAGTATCGGAAGGAATTTGTCTTCGTGGATTACTTTTTGATGGAACTAACCCCCATTTGCATTACACGAAAACCTCCCACAGTTAGCCTGACAGCAAAGGGACTCTAACCCATGATCCGTCTATCACTGAGGATATTATACGTCAACACTGTGGTCGGTGCAAGCCAGGTGCGGAATTCGTATCGACCAGCCATTGCTGGGATTCAAACCCGATTCACCTCATTGGAAGGCGAGCGCTCTACCCACTGATCCACCACGGCTCAACTTGACGCGATTGTACAGAAAGCTCGTTTTTTTCCGAGGAAAAAAAAACATCGATTTGATTTATAATTAAGGCATTAATAGCCATAATTACTAAGGCATTTTATTATCATTGTCATTTACCTTGATAAATTAACAGTAATATTTTAAATGCAGTCATAGGATTCAATCACCTTTGTACCATTTACCTATTTTTAAAAAAAAAAATATGAGAAACTATTAAATTGCTTAAAATGAAGTAATAAATTATTTTAATTATAATAAAACACATCAATTTTTAAACGAAAAAGGTACTTATATAATGGTGCATTTTACATTTCTTTTCCAACTGTGTTATTGTGTCCTATGCCAAAAACAGTGCGGAAAAAAAACGGACATGATGAATAACTTTTGATCTAAAGGTCGGAACTTCACGTTTTAGGACTTTATCTAAATGGTTCGAGGAATTAACCTCTAATATGCTAATTAATAAAATGCGATATTTTAAGTTGTGAAATCAGTCACAAAAACCTACTTTCTCTAAATAAACATACCTTTTTTCGCTGTATGTGGATTTCTGACCCCAATATGCGTAACTACTGTCTGTGAAATGTGATTCCAATAGTTTCATCAGGAGAGCGGTCTAAAGTTTGGACCTCTTCGTGTTAATTTTACTAATTAATAATAATTTTACTTTTTGCATATTTCGCATCATCTCAAGAACTCTTTAAGTGAATTAAAATATTATGAAATTTATTTATCCGACAATAATTTATGCAAATCTATCCAAATAATTTTATGCTTTTAGTAAATAGCTATTTTTTTTTTATTTTATTGATTAATAGTTGAAAAAGTTTTGAACTGTAACTTATAAAATTTTTTGTATTATTTTAAAGAATATCACTTTGCAAGGCAAATTACAAAATTTAAAAAAAACTATATCTATCGAGTTCTGCAGAAATCGAATTTTAAATGTATGAATTATTGTAAATTCGATTTCTCAGGAACTATTCGATCGATCGACCATGCAAAAAGTTTTACAATAAATGGGTCCGAACTTTGGATCACTCTCCTGACTAAACTATTAGGACCAAACTTTCTTAGATTCCAGACGTCCCGCAGTGGACTGATCGTTAAGACACGATTCCTAGCAGATCACCGAAGTCAAGCATCATCAGTGTGCGGGTGGGTGACCACTTGGATCAGTCTGCGTAGGGACCGAGGGTGTGTGGTATTGTTCCTCATTAAACTGTTCTACCGTGAAGTGCTCGACTTCACGTGCAGGTCGTTGGGTTACCGAAGCGAGGTGCCATCCTCTCTGCAGAGAATCAAAATTGTGATGGCATGTTTTTGGATTATCCTCAGGCATGTTTCTCAGACCGTCGCCAATAGCCCTTTGTGCAGCTCTAGTGCGACGTAAATGAACTACAACAACTTAGAGGCTATTTTTCTAAGGCTCCGTGGTAATATGAATTAATGGTTTGTTGCNGGATCAGTCTGCGTAGGGACCGAGGGTGTGCGGTATTGTTCCTCATTAAACAGTTCTACCGTGAAGTGATTGACTTCACGTGCAGGTCGTTGGGTTACCGAAGCGAGGTGCCATCCTCTCTGCAGAGAATCAAAATTGTGATGGCATGTTTTTGGATTATCCTCAGGGATGTTTCTCAGACCGTCGCCAATAGCCCATTGTGCAGCTCTAGTGCGGCGTAAATGAACTACAACAACATAAAGGCTATTTTTCGAAGGCTCCGTGGTAATATGAATTGATGCTTTGTTGCGAATAATATTCTATTTTTATAATTGCTGTGAGTTTGCAACTGTTACTCATGAGTGTTGGGTCAAGTTTAGCCTATCTAAAGTCAGCACTGTTAACGCTTATTTTTAAAATAAATCAAAGCATCAATATGGAGAAAAACCACAATTTTGTGAAAATGAAAAGCGTTTGTGGTTTAATTTTTCAATATTTAAAAGTACGCCAATACTTGGGTTCATAAAAATTTGTAAAAACTGAGAATAAGGCAGTGATTTTGGTAATTTTCATCTAGGTGGAAAATGTCCCCAAATTGGCGATTTTTTAAAAAAATATTTTAAAACTATTTTAGCTATTTTTCTGCTCTAAAGGCCAGATAATTCTTCATGCCACGATTATATAAATAGTTGCATTGCTGCAAGTCCAAGGTTCTTTAATTATGGCTTTTTTTATTTTCCTTGGCGACAGAGCTTCGAAAAACAGCGTTAAAAATTGTGTTCAGTCGTGAAAAAAGGCCTCTTATATCTTCTGCCTGCTACGGCCAGGGCTGAGGTTCGATTCCCTGTGTTAAAGACTGAGTGCATGATCGGACTGCACTTTTTCCCATTATGGCTCCACTATATCCCATTATGTCCCCGTCTCTTTCGTGCCACGGAAAAGGCGGGGCTTATAAAATAAGTTAAAAATATAAAGAAAAAAACATGGAAAAAGATGTAAAAATATTAATTTAAATGTTATTTTTAATTTTTTCAATTTTTTGTTATCTCGTCATCAGCTTGCACAATTACATCCGACCGAAAAAAGTGCTTTCTAATATTGTACTATTAATATAGTCAAAGCAAAATATATCAATTCAAGAATGTGAGGAACACCAAGAAACTGAAAGAAAATAGAACTTATTAAGCAAAGAAATGCAAAATAAAACACTCAAGCAAAAATAGGAAATAAAAATCAAGAAAATACAGAATAAAACTCAAAATGTAATATATAAAGCGAATAGCGACTTCAAATGTACTGACAATTACTTGCATTTTACAAAAATGTTTTAAAATTTTAAATTGTTTTCGTAACAAGTTCCTTGCCGGTATATAAAATTTGAAAATACAAGCGTAAATCGAAGGCAATGAAATCAACTTTATGGCCCGTTTATACTGAAGTCTAGAAGGGCGTTTGATTTGTTAGTTACCTTGGATTGGACAGAATCTGGATGTGCGCAAAGTAATAATATCATACTGGATATCTCAAAGCTTATAATTAACCGTGGTGGCTCAGGGGATAGAGTGTTCGCCTCCCAAGGAGGTGAACCGGGTTCGAATTCAAGCGATGGCTCCTCGATGCGAATCAGCACCCAGCTCGCACCGACCACAGTGCTGACGTAAAATATCCTCAGTGGTAGACGGATCATGGGAGTCCCCTTTCCGTCAGGCTAACCGTGGAAGGCTTCCGCGGTTTTTCTCTCCGTGTAACGCAAATGTGGGTTAGCTCCATCAAAGAGTCCTGCACGAAGGCAATTTTCTCCCAATATTTAATCTAGGAGTTTCCTTGTCTTCCGGATTGGGTTTAAAATTTAAAGGCTAGGGAGTTGAGCATTGGTAAATTGGGACGTCTGTTCAACGACGGGTATAAAATCAATAAGGCTAAATTTTAATAAGGTTAAATTTTGAGTAAAAAATCTTTTATATCGATAATTTTAGAAAAATTATTAACATTTAAAAAAATTATAAAAATCTTTATTAAATATTCGAAGATTCTCAGCCACAGAATATATGTATTGTATATACATATATATAGAGAGAGATCTGTTGAAAAACTTTAAGATTATTATAAGGATCTGGCTGTCTGTCTTGTTTGGTACTTAATGTCATATTAAAGCTACACTTATGAACTATTATGGCAGTTAATGAGTTCCTCCTTAATGATGATCCAAAAACAATATCGGTGCGTGTTCTGATAACCCTAATACAATTATAGGACAGATAGTGGCAGTGGTCACTCTTCTGTACTCTGACTTTTTTGAGCATGAAAGCGTCGAGAACCTTATAATAATTATTCTAAAGCTTCAAGATTAAACAAAATATTACTGCAACGGGATCATGAATANATGTCTTCGGATCATCCTCCGGGATGTTTCCCAGACCGTCGCCAATAGCCCATTGTGCAGCTTTAGTGCGACGTAAAGTAACAACAACAACAATTAAAGCTTCAAGATTATACAAAATATTACTGCAACCTCCCTCATTCGAACGAATTTGGTCTGAATTCACTTCGGATTATGGGGGATACATGGGGTTATGCTTACCATCGTTCACTGATAAACTTTAAAGAAATGATCTATTGAGTAAGTGTACTTAACAAATCTGTACAAGTTTCTTGTATCAGAAGTGGGACTTTCTTGTTCAAGGAAGTATTTATGTTTGATTCACCTCGTTGAGCAGTAGTAATACTTTATTTATTTCGAACGAGAGCTGCACAATTTGCTATTGGCGACGGTTTGGGAAACGTTCCTAAGAATGATACGAAGACATGGCATCACGATCTTGATTTCTAGCCAAGGAGCTCGATATGGTAGCGCAACGAAATGAGTGAAGTCGAGCAATTAACGTAGAACAGTTTTAACGAAGACCCATCAAAGTGGTCATCCATCCGCACATTAGCCGCCATCAGTGATGTTTGACTTCGGTGATCTACTAGGAACCGTGTCTTAGCGATCACTGCAGGACTATTGACCCTGAGGTTTACCTAGGAAATGGACAATAATACTTGATAATAATATCGGATTACCGACCGGTCTGTGTAGGGGTTAGTGAACTGCCCTTGCATCAGAAAAGTTCTGGGTTCGAATCCCGGGCAAGGCATGGATGTTCTTTCCTTCTCTGTACAATCTGTCCTTACTGTGGGAGCAACGTTGGTCCACCTAAAATGGTGCCCTTGAAAGAGTGGCCAACAAATCTGCCTTTCAGATGCCTGTATGACGTAGATCATTCCCCAGGCGGGCATTGGGAAAAGAAAAAATAATAAGACCGGATAATAATAATATGTGCAAAAAAAAAAACTATTGAAAAAATTCCAACTTCGTTTAACAAAAGCTTTCGGATATAAATGAAAGTACACAAGTGCTTCCTTAGAGCACTGAGAGGAGCTGAAAATTTTTCACTAGCGTTTCCTTACATATTTATTCATGTAGCATTTTATAAAATATGTTTGCATTGCGTTTTTGAAAATAGTAAAAATTTCAATAATTTACTCGCTATTATTCCATAGAATAATTCATTATCTAAAATGACTTGATAAGTTTTTATGTTATTCAACAGTAAATGGCTCATATTGAAAGAAGAAAACGATTTCCGAATTAAAAAGTATCATTTATGAAATCGTTTGCCTAATTTTAAAAATATTGATGATTTTTTATGTAAAAATGCATATTGAATAATTTTTTGGTTTTGCAAATTATTTTTATACCAGTTTTTAAATAGTGAATTATTTAAAAGCTTCATAAAATAAATAAATTAAGAAATATACATATAAGTTGCATTTTAAACTGACTTCAAAGCGATTTTTATAGTTAGTTGATTCGGAAGTGCACTCCAANCACTCTCATCACCTCATCGTCATCATCTTCAGCATCAACAACTCAACTCACAAAAATACACCTTACAGCAAGGGGGATAAAAGCGAGTAGCAGAGATCCCCCCCCACATCATCATCAACAGTAAATTAAGAAATATACACATAAGTTGCATTTTAAACTGAGTTCAAAGTGATTTTTATAGTTAGTTGATTCGGAAGTGCACTCCAAATCTTTTCAATTTAGAATTTAATCTGATCTTACAAACTACTCGAACTTTCAAATAGCAAGTGGTTGTCTTGTTCTAATTGCTTACAAGTGGTAGCGGCACATCTAATTGGTACATTTTGTTTTTAAAATGAACATTAAATATGGTCGAAAAATACAAATAATACATTTAACTTTAATGCGTCTAAGAACAATAATATTTCACGCCTTCATTTTTGTTGTGTTTATAGATTCTGAATCTGGGCAAAAACAGACAGTCAGAAACGGATGCAATCTTATAGTCGATTCCTAGTTGGAAAGTTTTGAAGATTGAATGCTTTAAATTTAAGAATGAATATAGGTTCGGTGCTTTCTTGTACTCCTCACATTGTTGGAAATATTTTTCAACATCTTACAGCTAAAGATCTAAGTAGCTGTGCTTCTGTTTGTAGTTTATGGGCAGTTTTGTCTCAAGAAGAGATCCGAAGAAGAAAAGGAATCGTACCTTTCTTCCAGGTAAAAATCATTGCTTGAAATGTAATTTAACAAAAAATATATTTCTTAATGTTTTCTAAATTAAATTTTGCAAACAATTTATTCAAGTACTTGCTATTAAATGTATGAATAAGAATAGTTACTATATTGCTCAATTTATTTGATTTTAATCACAATTTGTAGGAAAAATTAAAAATCAAAATATTTCTTCATTTATTTTGCCAAGATTTTCATTAATTTCTATTTGATTTTCATAGTACGAGATGAAATAATGTTGACATAAATCTTATGATAATTATATGAAGAAAAAAAACATGATTTGTATGGAATTTAAAATATTTTGGAGACTAAATCTTAATTTTTCTTCCATAATCCAGTTTTTTGTTGTAAATATTTATCATTTTATTTTTGAAAAAAAAAAGGTTTTTTTTTACTTGCTATTTTTAACCAAGATAAATATTTTCTCAAGAGAAGTTTCTGCTACACAGACAAAATATTCTTTTGAATACTAGAAAGAAATGTAATTAATAACGATTTTTTTGCTATATCCCCTACAAAAAGTAATTACTTGCTTAAATTTTAAAACTTTGAAATGATTGTACAACTAATAACTTGTTCCGAATTGTAAATACTACAAATTTAAAAGTTCAAAAATTCTTGCAATGAAACCGTACTTATAAAGATCTGAAAGAAATATATATGTATTATTATTTTTTTTTATATATATAATTGCATTTTCACAGTATTGTCTTACATCGATACGAGCTCCAAGGTCTTTGTTCTCTCGTTTACCTGAAAATTAAGTAACTAAGTTAAACCAGTATTTTTTTTCTAAATTTTGAATGAAAATTTTTGTAATAATCACTTAGTGAAAAAAAGAGAAAGTTATTTTAGTTTAAGAATTTAATTATCAAAGATGAACTTTATTATTATAAATAGCTCTTGTTCTTTTTTTACGCAGTTTTGCTTTATACAGAGTGTCCCGCTAGATTCACTCTTAACATATATTTTTAAAATCCTTGCTAAAAATGAATGCTAAAAGTGTCCTAATTAAGGGTCGAATTCTTGCTTAGAAAGACTGGATTAAAAACGACGAAACCAGTTTGACTATTCGGAAAATAGATATGAATTAGTGGGTGATTATTAGCCTGGAAAAAGGTGGTCTCTTGCAACTTTTTTCTAACTGTGAAATTGGTTTTGGGTGTTTTTAATCCCGCCTTCCTCCGTAGTGATTCGTTACTTGCAGTGATCTATAATTTTTCAACTTTTTTAATTGATTTCGGAAGAGGGCTCAAAAAATATATATTAAGCGAGGTCTATAAAAAACACCATGTATATGATATTTTTTCTTTCTTAAATTATGGTTTTCATAGCTTCTAAAACCAAATTTTGCTGCATTTTACGCAATAATGTTTAAGTTCAAATGATATTAAGTCGCCGAAGTCTGTTTGCTACTGATTTTACTTAGTATCGCTGTTAAGAAATAGTTTCATGCTTTCTCATTTATAAATGTGGATAGTTTGTCTATAAAAAGAAATCCTCTCTTCACAAAGTCTAAGGCCATCGCTGCTATAGAACTGAAAAAAAAAAAGAAAATTCGAAGAGGGGAACTTTTTTTTACCCCCATTATTTTTCTCTTTCCGAACAAAATCCGAACCTGCACTAAATATTAACCCAACATCCTACTTGAATTAAGTAAACCTCGTAACCATAGTCACAGCCACTGCTCCAGGCGAAAGGCAAGAGGAGTAATATTATTGAATTGCTGGAAAAACTTATTGATCTGATTAGTGCAGTGTTAAAGTAGAAATTTTTTCAACGGTAATACGTAGATCCGTGATGACTCAGGGGCTAGAGCGTTCGCCTTCCAATGAGGTGAGCCGGATTCGAATTCCAGAGATGGCTGGTCGATACAGAATCCACATCCGACTTGCATCGACCACAGTAATTGGCATAAAATATCCTCAGTGGTAGACTGATTACTGTTTAGAGTCTCCTTGCCTTAAACTTACGGTGGGAGTTTTTCGTGGTTTTGCTTACCATGCAACGCAAATGCGGATTAATTCCTTCAAAAAATCCTCAACGAAGACAAATTTCTCCCAATACTTGATCCAGGTGTTCTCTTGTCTTCTGGATTGGGTTCAAAATTACACGGCTGCGGAGTTGAACATTAGTAGTCGTAACTCCAAAACCTAGGCCGGCTGTTCAACGACTTTTATAAAAAAGGTAAAACACAAAAAATTCTAACAATTTCTGTGCTTTAGGAAAATAACATGTAGAAGTGTTATAGAAACTTTTGCTTTTGACCGCATTTGATTTTAAATTCCTTATCCTTTATGAGTAGCTTTGGTATTTCATTTCAAATATTCCTGGAGTAGTGTAGTATCAAGAATTTATAGCGAACCCAAGAAAGAGCCAACCAACCGGTTCTATTACGTAACAAGCTCTGCTTTGTGTTTACTGAATATGAAATCTCTTCGCGCGCTTTAGAACCGGTTTTTGTTTATTGTTTGTTGAAATTACATACATTTGCAGGCTTGTTTGCTCAATTTAGGCTTATAAACCTTGGTCAAGTAGAAGTCAGATAGAACAATTTAGAGAAGGACATCACAAAGAATACATCCAGGGTTACAACGGGATTCGAACCAACCACCTCCACGCTTCACACGGTTTTTGTTTATATTTAGAGCAAAGATGAGGCAAAAATATTTACTTTTTTGGCTTTTAGCTTGGCTGACACTTCACTTTACAACGTCACAAAATAAAAAGTTGACTAGGTGTTCATTGATCCAAATCTCATTTTCATAAATATTTCTTAATGATTGCTATAGTTTTTTGTTATTTTACCCGCTATCGTTTATTAGTTTCATCTTTAATTTATTATATTAAATTATTAATTTTTTAAAACAAGTATGATTATTTTTATTGATTATATATTTGTCAATCAGTTTGGGTTTTCGCATTTTTTTTGTCAGACAAATAAGTTGTCTGGCAAACGAAACGGTCGAGTTTGTGAGTAATTGGACTAATAAATCTAACGGGCTATTGAGTTATCGAACTAACGAACCTGTCAGGCGAATGGATTTTCGGACAATTGTGGGTTCGGCAAAAGTACCCAGACACAATTGAATTTACTATCTCAACTAACTGCGATGTGTTGTCATTCCTCAGTGAAATAATAACGAACGGACCCAGAAGTTCAACGAAAAACCCAGAACTTTTATTTTTGGTATTTAATTATTACTATGAATAATATTTTTAATTTATACAAATTACGCATGGTTAATTATGAATTTGATTAATTTTGTTTTGAATTATTTTAGGGAATAACATGTGGGAAACACCGCCAAATACATCGAACTCATCAAGAATGCCCAATGAGACAAGCTTCGAAATTTGAGAGTGAACTGAAGGAACAGTTACAAAATGTTAACATAAAACCGGCATTTTGTATAGCATTTGCCACATCTGCCCTCCTGGAGCATTTTGAACAGCTTTTTCCTGCTTATTTTGATGGTAAACAACAACCTCGAAAGAGGCTTAAAAAATGCTACTGGGATTATTTTGATTCAGGTACTTCAGATTTGCCAACACATTTATATCTTTAAAATGCTAATGACAAATATAATTTCAACTGCTTTTTTTCATAGTGTAAATAGCTTTTTCTTCCAATATATTACCGGTTATATTAAGTTCCTCTAGTTACTCCTCTAGTAATTTAAATTCCTCTAGTTACGCTTTTGTTTTGCGCTTTTGTCCTTTGCACTTTTGTTTTCATATTTTGTAATCTGGCAATCTTGTTGCGAAAATATTTTTAAATCATTCTTGAAAAATTTCCCGTTCATGTAAGTACATCTGGTTTCGCAACTCGCTTTAGAGATTTTGTTTTATACTGTTTTTTCTTTTTATTTTATTTTGTATTTTTAGGTGTTATTTTTACTTATTGTGTTCTATTTTATTTGTTGTAATTTTTGTAAAAAATTTTTTTGAGTGCTCCTCACACTATTGTATTAATATATTTTGCTTTTGTTTTGACTTTATTGATACAATATCAGAAAGCACTCTGTTTTGCGGATATAATCGTGTGGGCTGATGAAAAGATTATATCTTTTTTTTCCGG